TAGCTAGCCTGGGTTACTTATGGTTAGCCTGGGTTACTGTAACTTATAGCTAGCCTGGGTTACGTAACTTATAGTCGCCTGGGTTACTGTAACTTATAGCTAGCCTGGGTTACTGTAACTTATAGCTAGCCTGGGTTACTTATGGTTAGCCTGGGTCACTGTAGCTTATAATTAGCCTTATAGCGGTACTGTAACTTCCTCCAAGCTAACATTATCCCAAAAAAAAAGCTGTAATTTATTAAAAAGTGAATAAAATCACTGAATAGCTCATCTAAAGCTAAGATTTACGAAAAAATCAAATAGTTGAACTAATCAAAGCCCAGTAAATGAGACAAAACTGACTAAAACCCTTATTGAACCCACATTTTTAGTTTTAAAATCAAAACAAGCGCATTTTTGTGATAAATTTTAGAGAAATACTTGTTGACAAAAGGAAACCCTGTAAGATGGGGTACTGTAGTGTCTGGAAGAAAGAGAGATAGAGAAAGAAGAAGAAGAAAGAGAAAGAAAGAGAAAGAAGAAGAAAGAGATAATCCCCTTGGATAAATGGATCCACTCTGAACCCCTGGATACCCCTAAGGCTTCACAAACCTATGATTAAGTGGGTTTCTTTCGAATATCTTCTTCCTTTCTTTTCTCATAATCGCTTGATCGCAATCCGGAGATCAGGTGGCAGTAACGGTTGGTGAAAAAGATTCAGAAATTGAGAAGCTTTCAACGGAAATCTTTCAGGCCTTTCAGGCCACTAAAACTGCTAAATTTTCGGATTTTGGGAGTGTTTTTGGGAAATTTGGCAGAAAATTTGCATAAAAGTTCATAATTTGCAAAATTGATGGACAAATATAAGATTTTTTGATGCTACAGCAATAAGAATAGGCCCAATTTTGCTAATTTTTAAAAGAACAGATTCTCCGAGTGACCAGTAGTCAAAGAATGATCTCTTCTCCACTTAAAGTCTTCACGCTGGCGCACAATTATGAAAAGTCGATTTTTTGCCTCCAACTCAACACCCAATCATTCAATTACCCTAATTTCATATTTATACAAAATTTCAACTCAATTTCTCCGATCAATTTCGATTTCGATAGCTCAGAAACACAATGTTACGCCTTTTTTATCGCATCTTCGAAGTTCAGAGGTGTCAATCACTCAGCAGAATCGTTTTTTTGACAACTTTTGCACATATTTTGGAGAATTTCTCGCTTTGTATTTAATTATTTTTGCTTTTTATTAAGAAATTGATTTATTTGGATTTTCTGAAGGATTTATCAGAAGATTTTCCAGTATTTCAAAATTTTGAGAGTCAATCGTTGAATTCCGTGAAAGCTGAGCAGAGCAGTGACCTGTAAAGTTAGCAAAAATGTTAGCTGCATTCTAGAAAGACCAAAAGAATTTTATATTTACCGTATTTCTCTATTTCTCTAATAGTAGTGCACCCCGGCGAGCCGAGTTGGTGACTATTTTACGGTTTCCAAAGTTTTCACAGAAGCTCAACACTCAAATTCCCCACAAGATCTCATCGTCAGCTACATTTTCCGACCCCACATCGACACAAAAAAAGAAAACTTAATGGGAGCCGAACCGCCGACCTAAAGATTTACATTCCAACAAGTTATCCGCTACACTACACAAACATTGCTTCGTCATGTGCGCGGAAGCGTTATAAGAGCGGCCAAAAAGCTTGCTTACCAAATTCCTTGCGATTCCGATCTATTTAGCAAGAAAGGACAGCAGATTCGGAACCAGCGTAAAATTCTGCATCGGATGGTCTAAGTCTCATTTCGATTGACCACCTTGATTTCGTGACCTTTCCTTGTCAATCTAAATCGGAAATAACATATACATGTTTTCAGACGACCCATAACGACACAGCATCAAGAATACAATGAGTTCCAGTCGGCTACTGACGGAAAATACCGTACTAGGCCAGCTCAGCCTTTGGTACACGGACTGGCTGGCTCTGGAGTACTGTATTATTGGCCATGAATACTGTACTAGCGACCGGGAGTCCTTTATTAGGCCAGGCATACTGGACTATTGGTTTAGGCTTAGGCTTGAGCTTAGGCTTAGGCTTAGGCCATGAGTATTGTACTCCTTCAACACGAAATTTCACGCTCCACACAAATTTTTTTTTTTTTGACTCCCTAAAAGCATCAGACTTCAGAAGCAAACATGTTTCTGGTGTCTCTTTGCATCCACCAGAAAGCGATGACAAATAAAAGCAAAGTAACAAGCGGCTTTCACTTCATAGCACTCTCACTCGTAGCTGTACTTTATACTCAAAATTGTAAACATACCCCTGCTAGTGCACTGAATTCTCTAATTTCTAATTTTCTCTATGAATTCTCTAAAACATTTCTTCAAGAATTTGAAATTTGAAGAGGCCAAAAAGTTGGCCAAATTTGGCCAAAAAGTGGTTTGTTTGAGAGCACAAAGAACAGCCGAAAAGAATAGCTTTGAATTTGTTAGGAAACCAGGGTTTTGCCATAATACTCTTTCTATTAAAAGCTAGTCCATAATATTCTATTAAAAACTAGTCTACTTGATACTGTGAGAAAGTGTGGGCAAGCGGGTGAAAAGGGTCAACGGGGGACCCCTCAAAACAAACAGATCACCCCAAGTCCAGGAAAAAAAAAACAGAGAATGAGTAATGGTTTGGGGTTTGAGTGTGGCAATTTTTGAGTATTTAAGAAAAAATAGAGAAGACTTTAAGTGGAGAAGAGATCATTTCTCGACTACTGGTCACTCGGAGAATCCGTTCTTTTTTTAAAAATTAGCAAAATGGGGCCTATTCTTATTGCTAGTATTTTCTTCGGTTTTTATTCGAGTGGTAAGTTGAGTTTAGAGCTGATACCAAATAAAGGACTTGGACAAATAAAGGACTAACGATGTAGAGACTTGTCGATTTAATTGAGTCAATGTTTCTTGCTGATTTGTTACCATTTCAAATTTTCTCGTAGACTTCTTGCACATCCAATAGTTTTTTTGGCAATATGTGGAGTAGGAGTTAGTAGTTAATGTCCTGAATTAAGACAAATACAGGATGCACCGCGCCTTCACTGAAAAATCCATTGAGTTGGGGTCTGGAGAGCTAGGTGACCACTCAGAAAAAGGAATCCGGGAAATTCTTTTGGCAGAACTCTTGGACTTTCTTGGATTTGTGAACCGGTCTCTCTCTTGGTGATAAGTCCAAATGCGATTTCCAAAATGTTTACGAGCCCAGGGCAAGAGTTCATCCTTGACAAGAGCCAAGTAGTTGTCAGAATTGACTTTGATGCCTTGGGGAAGAAATCTTTCCTGTTGAGTTTTTCCTGTCGCAGTGATGCCGCCAAAAAGCATCACAGAAGCTGGATGTGCACTTCGAGAAACCGTAGCATTCGCTTGAGATTTGGCCCATACTCGCTCATTTTGCTAGTTAAGAAGGCCTTCAACGGTAAATATCTTTTCATCTGTGAACAAGATATTGTGATGGTCGATTCCCTTAAAGCGCATCAATAACTGATCTGCCCTCAATTTTCGACTGTTTCTAGTGGCATTCGAAAGAAGTTGAGCCTTGTTTTCTTGTTTCTGGTCGTGATGGTCAAATTATTATTTGGCTTATTTGGCCTATCTAGCCAAAATAGGCCAAATAAGGGAAGATCTGATCCCAAAAATTTGGGCATAGTGACGGCAAAAACGACAAAGCCGGCTCCTTTTCCTTTTACTCAGTGAAGTCTGTTCTCGGGGGGGTATCTATCGGAGCCATGTGCCAGATGGAGAGCGATTACGTGCCCGCACAAAGAACACTTCGAGCAATGACATGGATTTTCTTTAGCTTTGTAAATGACTTTTAAAAAAAGATATTCAGTTGTAAATTTGTATCTTGGGGTTTTCGGGGTCGAGCAATCGATTGAAGCCAATCATTTTATCGAATCTATCAATTGGAACTTAGATTCATGCGGTCGAAAGTTTAGTTTAGTTTTTAGTTTAGTTTTAGTTTAAATTAATTGAGTTTAGAGCTATTTTAGTTTCAAAACTTTAACGGAAAATCCTCCAAAAATAAGTTCTTGCCAGTTTTTGAATGCAAGAAAGACAACCCGACTTTTCAGTTCTCTCCCAGACGCCAAATCCGTGCATTTTCGAGAACGGAGCCATCGCTGCAAACTGGAGTGTAAGGCAAAAAAAAAAAATTGTTACAACGCGACAAATTCTAGGTGGCAAACGGAATTGTTTACGTGGAATTCATCAATAAAAATCTTGCCAACAATCAATGGACAGGGATAGCTTTTGGAGATTTATCGGTACGGTGCAGAGCTTCGGTACGGTACGGAGCTTCGGTACAGTACGGAGCTTCGGTACGGTGCAGAGCTTCGGTACGGTACGGAGCTTCGGTACGGTACGGAGCTTCGGTACAGTACGGAGCTTCGGTACGGTGCAGAGCTTCGGTACGGTACGTTGCAGAGCTTCGGTACGGTGCAGAGCTTCGGTACGGTACGGTGCAGAGCTTCGGTACGGTACGGAGCTTCGGTACGGTGCAGAGCTTCGGTACGGTACGGTGCAGAGCTTCGGTACGGTACGTTGCAAAGCTTCGGTACGGTGCAGAGCTTCGGTACGGTACGTTGCAGAGCTTCGGTACGGTACGGAGCTTCGGTACGGTGCAGAGCTTCGGTACGGTACGGTGCAGAGCTTCGGTACGGTACGGAGCTTCGGTACGGTGCAGAGCTTCGGTACGGTACGGTGCAGAGCTTCGGTACGGTACGGAGCTTCGGTACGGTGCAGAGCTTCGGTACGGTACGGTGCAGAGCTTCGGTACGGTACGGAGCTTCGGTACGGTGCAGAGCTTCGGTACGGCACGGTGCAGAGCTTCGGTACGGTACGGAGCTTCGGTACGGTGCAGAGCTTCGGTACGGTACGTTGCAGAGCTTCGGTACGGTACGGAGCTTCGGTACGGTGCAGAGCTTCGGTACGGTACGGTGCAGGGGAAATTGTCCACATTTTAGGGAAACCTCGAGACTGTGCTTATGACGATTCGGAACTATCGAGTCTCACTCAATACCGGTTGGTTATACAAAAGAAACTCTCGGCTCTCGAAAATGTGTCAATTTTCAAAAGCTAACTCTGGTCACCCTGTAACATTACAAGATACAGAGGATACTTTATTGAGAAAAATGTACCCAAATAATAAAAATAACAAACAAACAAATGCTGATTTATTTCCGGAAAACCTAATATTTATTGTATAGGTCTTTTGGCGAACTCTGGCTACGTGATCTCTGTCGATCAACAGCCCGATGTGACGCCGATTTTCCTCAACTACAACAGTAAGTCGACAATGAAATGAGTGTAATGAAGTCGACAAATGAGCGGAATGAAGTCGACAAATGAGTGTAATGAAGTCGACAAATGAGCGTAATGAAATGAGTGTAATTAAATAAGGGTAATGAAATGAGCGTAATGAAATAAGGGTAATGAAATAAGCGTATTGAAATAAGCGTAACGAAATAAGGGTAATGAAATAAGGGTACAGAAATAAGCGTAATGAAATAAGGGTAATGAAATAAGCGTATCAGAATTCCTTAGAATCAGAAGCAATTAGAATCAATCAAAATTCAATCAATCGTATTGGAACGGTATTGGAACCTTATTGGTACCGTATTAGATCAAAAAAAGAACCGTATTGGAGCCGTATTCAAAATTCAATCAATCACAATTCAATCAAAATTCAATCAATCAAAATTCGATCGTATTTCAATTCGTTTTTCTTCTAGTGAACCGTTTGACGGCTCGTTTCCAGCGTCCTCTCTCAGCCACCGGTCCACGGGGTTTCTCATTGGATAATTGCGTCGATTGGAATGTAGGGAAATTTTTGTTTCAGATTATTGTATTGACGGAATACTGTATTGACAGAATACTGTAGAAATCACCGTAGAAATATTAACTTAAAGATACTGTGATAATCTGTCTGTAGTAAACATTTTTTCTTTCTTTCTTCTTCCTCTCTTTCTTCTTCCTCTCTTTCTTCTTCCTCTCTTTCTTCTTCCTTCCTTTCTTCTTCCTTTCTTTCTTCTTCCTTTCTTCTTCCTTGTCTTTCTTATTTCTTCTTGGGCAAAGAAGGAGCTGATAGCTCAGTGGTAGAGCATCGGCAAGCAGAAGGTCGAGGGTTCAATTCCCACTTTCCAATTCAGTTCAATTCCAATTCCAATTCCAATTCCAATTCCAATTCCAATTCAGTTCAATTCCAAAAACTTTACCATTAATTTCTTTGCTTTGTTTATCAATTACTGCTAAAAATACTCAGATTTGTTGGCTAGATCGATTAAATTTCGGGATTACTGTAGGATTACTGTAGAATTACTGTAGAATTACTGTAGAATTACTGTAGAATTACTGTAGGATTACTGTAGAATTTAATATCATGATTAGAATTTAATATTAATAACGCTCGAATTCAAATTTCAGTTTATTTCTGCGTCTCCCCTCAACCCAGATGGGAGTGTCGGAGCGGCGGCGCAAGGGAAAACGGTTAATTCGATAATATAGTTCAATAATATACAGAAAATCGATATTCATATTGATTAGATTTAGATTTAGATCAAAGAATTAAATATCAGAATTAAATTTGAATCAAAATTTGTAGATAAATGTCTGCCCGAATCGTTGCAATCAACCGCAACTCCAAGCGCAAACCGCACGCGACTACTACACGAATCCCGTGCCTGAGAAGTAAGGAAACTCGTCAAGAATTTGATTTAGAGATACTAGATTTAGAGATAGGTACACTAACATTTAGTAACTTGATAATTTCTTGATTACTGTACGATTAAGAAGATCGGATTAAGAAGATCAGTCCCCAAAAAAGTCCAATGACTTTTTGTGGTCCAATGTCCAGTGTCCAATGACTTTTTGGTCCAATGTTCAATGTCCAATGACTTTTTGGGCCAATGTCCAATGTCCAATGACTTTTTGTGGTCCAATGTCCAATGTCCAATGACTTTTTGGTCCAATGTTCAATGTCCAATGACTTTTTGGGCCAATGTCCAATGTCCAATGACTTTTTGGTCCAATGTCCAATGTCCAATGACTTTTTGGGCCAATGTCCAATGAGCCGCTGGTTCGCTCACGTCTTTTTTGATTCCTCGGGACTTATCTTTCCAATTTACAGGCCACAACATATATGATTTTGCGCTTGATTTATCTTTTTGACTTTCTAAGACAATACATTTGCCTAACAAGGAAACCTTCTCAAGTTAAACCAATTGAACTACGATTTGCTTTATCAGAAAGGCCACTTATTTTTCTACAGTCTGAGATAGGTGCAAAAAGAAAGGCCTGAAAATGTAGGTTCAGAGACTTCGGCAAATCGGTGAGGCGGCTAAATAATCAGCTAAATAATCGGCTAAATAATCGACAAAATGCACAAAGTTATAGCCATTTGAAGTTCGAAAAAATAAAGGCTTTTCTCGAATTTTTGGCAGGCTGATTTTGCCACACTGATTTTGTCACACAGATTTTTCCACACTGGTTTTGCCACACTGATTTTGCCGGCAAGGCTTTCCTTTCGCCATCCCAAAAGATATTTGAGAAATACTGAAGCTTTAAGCTGCTTGTATACAACCGAAAGAACTTTAATGATATTGTCTCGCTTGCTGATCTTGAAGTCTCGTTTGCTGGCTCGAATGTGATCGTGAATTCTTTTCATTACGTCTTTCAATTGTTGAAAGAAGTAAACAACCAATGGTTCAACCATTTGAAGCCATTTGAATTTCGAAAAAATCAAGGCTTTTCTCGAATTTCTGGCAATTTTGCCACAGTGATTTTGCCGGCAAGGCTTTCCTTTCGCCATCCCAAAGCCAGCGCGTAGCTCGTAGTCAGCTCGTAGCTCGTAGTCAGCTCGTAGCTCGTAGTCAGCTCGTAGCTCGTAGTCAGCTCGTAGCTCGTAGTCAGCTCGTAGCTCGTAGTCAGCTCGTAGCTCGTAGTCAGCTCGTAGCTCGTAGTCAGCTCGTAGCTCGTAGTCAGCTCGTAGCTCGTAGTCAGCTCGTAGCTCGTAGTCAGCCCGTAGCCTAGTGGACCCTAGTGGAGCTCAGGCACACTAACCTCGGTGTGCCTGAGCTCGGAACTCTTTGATCTTGTTTCGAACTCACCAGCAGTCAAACTTTTTGCTTTTTTTTCCTATCACTCTATAAATCCCATCACTATATATTCAGAAATCAAAAATTGAAATGCCAGAAGCTGACTTCAGCTGACTTCAGCTGACTTCAGAAAGATTACTATCGAATAAATAAGAAAATTACAGAGCTCTGTACAACAATCGAGAAAGCTCTCGTTTCGATGGTCTCTACGAACAAAATGGAATCGATCTCACTCAATAAATATTGAATAAAAGAAAAGAAAAGATTTATTCAGAAAACACACAGAAAAATCCCGTATTTGTCACCAAAAAATGAAAAGATTTGTTGAAGAATAACCCGCTTTTTTTCAATCAACAATTGCTCAGATCCACCGAGATCTAAACAATTCAAATTTTCATTTCAATAACGTTATTGCTCTATTTAGAGGATTGCGAGTTTAAGATAGTTGTTTGGGAATTACAGCAGTTATTCGGTTACAAAGTTACGATCATTGAAGAATCAAGGATCAAGCTGAGCTGAAACTCGATCATTGAAGAATCAAGGATCAAGCTGAACCTCTCTATTTAGAGTTGAATTGAGGAATACGAAAAGCTTACGCTAATTGCATGTGATTTAGCTAACGGGTTACGGTAACGATAAAAGCAATTATTAGAGTGGACTCACCCTAGCCGGGAGACTCCTGTGTGCGGCGATGATCTGCTCCATTCCCCGTCCCCGATCGCCCACCTCGATGTCACCGACCGTAACGAACTGGAAAAATCGATTTTATAGCTTTAAATATTAGGTAAATATCTAAGAGATGTAGATTTTGATTAAAAAAAGCTTTTTGGAGGATTTCCGTTGACACTTAATGGTTGACACTTAATGGTTGACACTAGATGGTTGATGGTTGACACTAGATGGTTGACACTAGATGGTTGACACTAGATGGTTGACACTAGATGGTTGACACTAGATGGTTGACACTAGATGGTTGACACTAGATGGTTGACACTAGATGGTTGACACTAGATGGTTGACACTAGATGGTTGACACTAGATGGTTGACACTAGATGGTTGACACTAGATGGTCGCCCCTAGATGGTTGACACTAGATGGTTGACACTAGATGGTTGACACTAGATGGTTGACACTAGATGGTTGACACTAGATGGTTGACACTAGATGGTTGACACTAGATGGTTGACACTAGATGGTTGACACTAGATGGTCGCGTCTAGATGGTCGCGCCTAGATGGTCGCGCCTAGATGGTCGACGCCTAGATGGTCGCGCCTAGATGGTCGCGCCTAGATGGTCGCGCCTAGATGGTCGCGCCTAGATGGTCGCGCCTAGATGGTCGCGCCTAGATGGTCGCGCCTAGATGGTCGCGCCTAGATGGTCGCGCCTAGATGGTCGCGCCTAGATGGTCGCGCCTAGATGGTCGCGCCTAGATGGTCGCGCCTAGATGGTCGCGCCTAGATGGTCGCGCCTAGATGGTCGCGCCTAGATGGTCGCGCCTAGATGGTCGCGCCTAGATGGTCGCGCCTAGATGGTCGCGCCTAGATGGTCGCGCCTAGATGGTCGCGCCTAGATGGTCGCGCCTAGATGGTCGCGCCTAGATGGTCGCGCCTAGATGGTCGCGCCTAGAGACCCACTCATTCATAATCAGCTGAAATTCATAATCGGCTGAAATTCATAATCGGCTACAACATATCTAATATTTAGATAATTAGATAATTATCTAAAATTTCTCACTCACATTCCAATTCACTTGTCCCTCAAGGCTGGCCTTTCGGGGTCCATTTGATCCAATCGGGCGTGACACTCGCGCTTTCAAATGGCCATCTAGATAAATTTAAATATTTTCTATTTGTTATCTATATTTAGCCATTTGTATTCTCTACGAAGTTTGTTCATAAACTCCAGTGTAATATTTGAGATTCTTCACAATAGCTTTCAGTACCATTATATCGCAGTGATTCAACATTGACAGATGGAGTTGAATCGATGATTTCTGGTGGACCGTAGCCATTTGTAGCACCTGGGATTGAATTTTAAAGGTTTAGCAACAATATAAAGAGATGATCTGAATAGAGTCGATAAAATGAATGTGTAGTTTACTCAGAGACTGCGAGAACTTTTGAAAACACAATCTTGGAGGCTTCTCCCGCTAACTCTAAGACTCCCGCTAACTCTAAGACTTCTCCCGCTAACTCTAAGACTCCCGCTAACTCTAAGACTCCCGCTAACTCTAAGGCTTCTCCCGCTAACTCTAAGACTCCCGCTAACTCTAAGACTCCTGCTAACTCTAAGACTCCTCCCGCTAACTCTAAGACTCCCGCTAACTCTAAGACTCCCGCTAACTCTAAGACTCCTCCCGCTAACTCTAAGACTCCCCGCTAACTCTAAGGCTTCTCCCGCTAACTCTAAGACTCCCGCTAACTCTAAGGCTCCTCCCGCTAACTCTAAGACTCCTCCCGCTAACTCTAAGGCTTCTCCCGCTAACTCTAAGACTCCCGCTAACTCTAAGGCTTCTCCCGCTAACTCTAAGACTCCCGCTAACTCTAAGGCTTCTCCCGCTAACTCTAAGACTTCTCCCGCTAACTCTAAGACTTCTCCCGCTAACTCTAAGACTCCCGCTAACTCTAAGGCTTCTCCCGCTAACTCTAAGACTCCCGCTAACTCTAAGGCTTCTCCCGCTAACTCTAAGACTCCCGCTAACTCTAAGGCTTCTCCCGCTAACTCTAAGACTCCCGCTAACTCTAAGACTCCTCCGCTAACTCTAAGACTCCTCCCGCTAACTCTAAGACTTCTCCCGCTAAGGACGACCATTTCCCATGAAAAGCATATCATTTTATATAGAATTTCTTAATTTTTATATTATTATTTGTTTCAGCAATAGAAAAGGATTCAAGCTTGGGTTTTAAGATGATTTTCCTGAAAGAGTTTGAGCGAATGCGTCGAAGTTCGACTTCAAACTTTGGCTATATTAAAGAGTGACTTGATGATCGTGACCTGGTCTTTACAATAAACCAAATAGTTGGTAGATTGTTAAGATTGTTAGTCGTGAAGATTGTTACAGCTACAATGATCTAAAGATCAAAACTAGCCGTAGAAGTACGGCCAGGTTACCGTAGTTGAGCATGATTCTTGTCTCCATTCAAATACCCCTGATTAGGTCAGTTTCTTTTAATTTTTTTTTGGATCTAGAGTATCGAAATATTGATCTAGATGTAAGTTTTAAGTTTAAAATTTCAATATTCAACTGAATATTATTTGTTAAACCTGTTAAACTCCAAACCTGTCACCACCGACGCCTCTCCATCAGCGATTTTGAAGAGAATGAACTCGAGATTGTACTGAAAACAGATGAGAGATTTAAGAGATAAGAAGAATTTGATAGTATCGAAGTATTAAAATAGTATCTAAGTATTAAGATAGTATCTACACTACTGGACAATGAAATATGATATTTGAAAAAAGATCGTCACTTTCGCGCGTCTGTAACTCCTTTGTCTTTGCCGTATTTCTAAATATCAATATTACCATTGTGTAGCCCTTGAAAAGAGCTTTCAGAAAATGTATAACACTAATAGTTTAAACTCAAAGACAAGGGAGTTACAGACGCGCGAAAGTGACGATCGTTTTTCAGATATGATATTTCATTGTCCAGTACTGTAAGTATTAAAAACCATAGGCTACGGCTCGTTATATTATTTCCACTAAAGCTTCTACTAGGGAAATGTTTATAATACGAACCATTGAATCACCGAAAGCGATGCCGGTAAATTCCAAATTGTTGAGCTGAGAGTTCTCGAAATCGATCACAACATTCCCGTCTTCTACCTAAGAAAAGGGAAATGGAAAGCTGAATTGGAAATGGAAATGGAAAGCTCTAACATTACGATAGATAAATCATTGAGCTAAGATTATGGAAAACGACATTTTTTAGAGACGCCAAACTCGAATTTAACTCTTTTACAGAATCGTAGCATAGCATTTTTAGCATTGCTTGGCTAGGAGCATAGCATTGCTTGGCTAGGATTGTCAAAATCATTAAAAGATCTTACAATTCTTTTATTCTATGCAAAATTACGCATAGATTCTATGATTAATTGTTTTTTTTCAGCTTCGGTTCATCTATTGTCTTAGAAAGCGAAAAAGATGCACTAAACGATGCATAAAAAGATGCATTACTATATTTGCCAAACCCTGTACTGATTCTGGACCCAGTAATAGTCCCGCACTAGCGCGGCAATACTAGCCCTATCCTTGGCTGGCTTTGAAGTAACCCTGGGCCTAGTGCTAGCCCGTGGCTTGGCCTTGAACTAGGCTTGGACTAGGCTAGGCTTGGACTAACCCTAGACTTGGACTAGCCCTAGGCTTGGACTAACCCTAGGCTCAGGCTTCTGCACAATTTTCTGCGTCGAGTGGATATTCAAACATGAAATTCTGATAGAGAACACCATTTCGCGCGGATGTGCGGTTTGCATACAAGACTTCTCTGCCTGCAAGACTTCTTGTGCCTGCAAGGATTCTTGTGCCTGCAAGGATTCTTGTGCCTGCAAGGATTCTTGTGCCTGCAAGGATTCTTGTGCCTGCAAGACTTGTGCCTGCAAGGATTCTTGTGCCTGCAAGACTTGTGCCTGCAAGGATTCTTGTGCCTGCAAGACTTGTGCCTGCAAGACTTGTGCCTGCAAGACTTCTTGTGCCTGCAAGGACTTGTGCCTGCAAGGATTCTTGTGCCTGCAAGACTTGTGCCTGCAAGACTTCTTGTGCCTGCAAGGATTCTTGTGCCTGCAAGGATTCTTGTGCCTGCAAGGATTCTTGTGCCTGCAAGGATTCTTGTGCCTGCAAGGATCTTGTGCCTGCAAGGATCTTGTGCCTGCAAGACTTTGTGCCTGCAAGGACTTCTTGTGCCTGCAAGGATTCTTGTGCCTGCAAGGATTCTTGTGCCTGCAAGGATTCTTGTGCCTGCAAGGATTCTTGTGCCTGCAAGGATTCTTGTGCCTGCAAGACTACTTGAAAAGGCTAGAAATTTCTGTTCCAAATGATTTACTAATAGAAATTCTGATTTCTGATTTACCTATAGAAATATTTAACAGAATCTCAGCTTCAAAATAAATGGGAAATTATTTTGGGAAAATATTTAGAGAAATTATTTTAGGAAAATAAGCCCCCCCCCACCCCGAACTTCGTTCCCGGTAGTCCACTCGATTCTTACTTTCACCGATTCCGGGATTTCACCGGAAGAGGGAACGCCGATGCTGTCGTCAACTTTGGGAAATTTTTAAAACATGGAAAATTTTGTTAAAGCTTTCACTTAGAAAATCAACTTTTTGAGCTTTTTGAGCTTATTGAGCTTTTTGAGCTTATTGAGCTTTTTTGATGAACCTGTACATCCCATATGTACATCCCATATGTATTGGGTTGATGGAAAAGTCCTTTCGGATTTTTTGGGAGAGTACCTTAAATTTGTCGAATTTTGACGTTTTATAGCTCATCCTAAAGCTGAATTCAAGACGGATCGATTGGTAAAAACTAAAAACGAGAAAAGCGAAGGAAAATCGCGAAAAGCGGCGGAAAGGCTATTGATCTGAGGGTCGCTGGTTCGACTTCCACCGGTGACAATATTTGTCAAAAATTTTTTGCTAAGATTCTGAAAATTTGTGTCTAGGGGTTATTTTTGACGCTGATCACGAAACACATGTTTTTAGCCTAGGTTTCTGCACGGAAAACTAACGAAACGTGAAAACAGCCATTTTTTGGCTCTGCCGCCCTTTACTAAAATAGCTGTAAAAACTTTTAGAAAAGAGATATCTCAAAACGGTTTTTACCAATCGATCCGTCTTGAATTCAGCTTTAGGATGAGCTATAAAACGTCAAAATTCGACAAATTTAAGGTACTCTCCCAAAAAATCCGAAAGGACTTTTCCACCAACCCAATACATATTCTAGCTATAACAATCGTATATTAAAATGTTTTTACAAAAAATTACCCTCCATCGCGCTTCCACGTTTTCCCGACTGTACGAGCACTGAGAGAAAGCGGAGCTGACTGAAATGGTTGATTTCTTTTATCGAATACATCGGATACATCGGATATCGGTTTGTAAAATGTGCCAACTTTCTTGAGAATGAAAAATGAAAGAGAACGGTTCGATCGAATGGTTCGATCGATCAAGCAAATCGTTTTTTGATTGGATAAGCCGTTTTTTCAGAATTTTCAGAAAACACATTACCCAAAAACGATCGTTTATAACGTGCCAACCTAATAGTAAGATGTACGTGGTTCGGAAACGAAAGCTCACGGGAATTTCGTGCCTTTCCCTAGTTAGATAAAATTGCTAGTTTTGCGTATTAATGTACTTTAATGATTTGTGATCTTCCGATCTTCCAATCTTCCAATCTTCCAATCTTCCAATCTTCCAATCTTCCGATCTTCCAATCTTCCAATCTTCCAATCTTCCGATCTTCCAATCTTCCAATCTTCCAATCTTCCAATCTTCCAATCTTCCGATCTTCCAATCTTCCGATCTTCCAATCTTCCAATCTTCCGATGTGAACATCCGTTTCCTAAGCCATGTTCCTTTACTCTTTCTACCGTAATCTTGTCTCTATTGTCTCTATTGTCTCTTTTATCTAATCTATCTACTTTTTTTATATCTTTCGATATCTTTTGTGAACTCTGACAGAATTAGAAAAAAAAGTAGATTTACAAATTAAAAACTAAATTAAAACTAAATTAAAACTAAATTAAAATAAAAGTAAAATAAAAGTAAAATAAAAGTAAAATAAAAGTAAAATAAAAACCCGCTGTTTCTCAAGCATCTCAAGCATCACAGATTGTTCTTAATGCGAATTTAGATTTAGATTCGCATTTAGATTTGTTTATATCAAGCTTTCTGAATCAAGTTTGCATTTTGGGACCTTTTAAACGCACCGCGTCCTCTTTGCCATTGGCAATCCGACTTTAAACTCAAATATACTGGCTTTGGGTTGTTGAATTGAAATAGTTTTTATACAGATCGATAGAGAAAGATTTGGCGCATCTAATGATACCAAAAATACTTCAATTGAACAGCCCAACACCAAGATATTTAAGCTCAAAGTTTTGCCATTGGCAATCCAACTTTAAACTCAAATATCTTAGTGTTGGACTGTCCAATTTCAATATTTTCGGTACCAATCGATAGAGAAAGACTTGGCGCATCTAATGATATCAAGAAATATTGAAATTGAACAGCCCATGCCCAAGGTATCGTCGTCGCAAGTGTGTGATTGAATTCTTAAAAATTGACATGAAAACGGTTTAAATTTCATTTCGCTTTAAATTCGGTTTAAATTCGCGCATACAATATTTCTGTTGATTTCTACATGATTTAGTTTTTATGATTACAATAGCTAGAGACAATAGCTAGAGAACTAGAGATAGCTATTTGGCTAGAGACAATAGCTAGAGACAATAGCTAGAGACAATAGCTAGAGACAATGGCTAGAGACAATAGCTAGAGAACTAGAGATAGCTATTTGGGCTAGAGACAATGGCTAGAGAACTAGAGATAGCTATTTGGCTAGAGGTTTTCGATAGTTTCATTGCGCTAGCTAGCTAGCTTTCATTGCTAGCTAGCAAATTACAAAGTACCTTCAGTTAACGGATAAAAGTTAACGGTTAACGGATGAAATCTATAAAAAACACTCTTTCTATTGCACTGAATTCTTTCATACATCACCGGCAACAAGTTGATTTCTGGAGAAAGGGGTTTTCCAGTGTTCAGCGTTTTCCAGTGTTCAGTGTTTCCCAGAAGGCATACCGTAAATACTGTAATAGTACCCCACTCTCATAATGACGGTGCGGAGCGTTGCGTAGTCTAGCTTTAGACGCGTTTTTCTAGACACTGGTTTATGCTACAATCCGCGCTTAGGTATCAAAAAATAGCTGAAATTCAGGGCTATTTTTTGATACCTACGCGAGGATTGTAGCATAAACCAGTGTCTAGGAAAACGCGTCTAAAGCTAGACTACGCAACGCTCCGCACCGTCATTATGGGGGTGGGGTACTATTAGTCTAGCTTTGAACGAGTTTTTCTCGACACTGGTTTATGCTACAATGCGCGCTTAGGTATCAAAAAATAGCTGAAATTCAGGGCTATTTTTTGATACCAAAGACACATTTTTTGAAAGTACGAGGCGCTTTGAAAAAAATGAAATACTAAAAAACTTTTGCGACTACGCGACTGTACGAGGGCGGCGGGGTACTAATTACAGTATTCACGGTATGTTTTTCGCATTCAAAAGAACTCACCAAAAGCAAATCCAATCAATGTTAATAGAATCATCTTTTATCTAAAAAAAAGTGTAAAATAAATGTATAAATGTATAAATTGAATCCAAATTGAATACAAATTTGATAAAATGATAAAAATTGAAAGTTTTTAAGCGAGTTGCTTGAGTAAAAAGTGAGAAAATGTAGAAAATGTAGAAAATTTGGCAATTTTGATAAATTTGGCAAACTTGGCAATTTTCTGAGCGAACTGGCCAACTAGGTGATTGAAAATTGAAAAGGAAATGGACTCGATTTGATTTTAAAAACAAGATAGGATGAAAGGCAAAAGATAAGATAAATAAAAAGATAAATATTTGATAGCTCTTTTTGAAAATGATTACGATCCGGGAAATTACAGGTTTCTGAGAGAAAAAGTGAAGAAAAAACACTATGAGATTGATCGTGAAATGGATTGGAAATGGAGTGGAAATGGATTGGAAATGGAGTGGAAATGGATTGGAAATGGAGTGGAAATGGAGTGGAAATGGATTGGAAATGGATTGGAAATGGAATGAAAATTTGTGAAAAGAAGCGAACAGCGTTTCCGATTTTGAGAAAACTATCAAAGCTTGTTTCTGCGTTTTCTAAAGACATCGATTTGACGAGAACTACCGTAACTACCGTAACTACCGAACTACCGATCAGTTTTCATCCAGGTCAGCTGAATCCTCGGATTTCAACTTGTATTCTTAGTTTTGAGTGTTGTTTATTGTGAAGTGCAGCAAGCATGGAGAAGCAAAGTTCTTGGAGAAGCTTGAATGGCTCCTCTTTTCATCCAGGTCAGCTGAATCCTCGGATTTCAACTTGTATTCTTAGTTTTGAGTGTTGTTTGTTGTGAGTTTTGTTTGTTGTGAAGGGCAGCAAGCAAAGCTCTGCATTCAAAGCTTCTCCAAGAATCAATACCTTCTTTTGATCTTCTTTTAGATCTTCTTTCAGATCAGTTGACGACAGACGACAATGAAATTGACGACAGTCGATTCTGAACGAATCTCTTTAGAAATCTTGAAGTTAAACTCGTTGATGTGTTGCCTAATGTTAACTTTTAATTGCATTGTTTGTATTTGTAGCCCCGGGGCTTCTATTAGAGTTTTTAGGGTAGTTATTAGGTAGGCTAGCTGAGAGCTAGCCTACCTAATAACTACCTAGAGATCGAACCCAGGACCTCTCGGTTCTATTGGGTTGGGGAGAATGAGTCGGCGCCGAAAATCAAAAAAATGTCTAAAACTTCTATTCGACTTCGTCAAATAATATGCGTTTGATATCAGTAGAATGGTTAACTAATTCTCTACAAAATCACATTTAAAAGAAAATTCAAACAGCGCCTCCGCTCAAGAAAAATCCATTTTTTCACAAAAACTACAAACTGTCATCTAGAAAAAACCATTGGTGGAATCTTCCTGCAAATTTGGCAACTTAAGTAATTGAATGTGCTCTATCTTTTTTATATAAACACCAAAGAAGGTTTATGTGAAAGAAACTGTTCAAATGATGAGTCGAACTCTTTGCCATTTTAACCAGCTGCGTTTGGAAGTTCATAAACTCCACGAAAGAAAAGCTTTGTGGAATCTCTCAAAAGTGATTTTGTAGAGAAATAGTGGATCCTTTTGATGAAACCAAACGTATGTTTCAAGAAGGCTTTATGTGTGCAAAAAGTCCCTTTAAAGTTTGGCGCCGACTCATTCTCCCCAACCCAATAAGTTTTACAGTATACTTACAAAGATACCCAATGATCATTAGAGTCGAATAGTATTGAGTTAGGTGATGGAAAAACCAGGATTATGGTAGCTTTCTAATAGTAAACGTCTTTTAGAAAACCCAATTAGCCAAAAGCAGCAAGACTAGACTCGTTAAGACGTCACTCGTCAAGACGCTTAACGAGGCTTCAAGTTTGCCCAGTCAGATCAGCGCCCTGAAAGTTGCTAGCAATCTAAAATCTTTTCTATCAGAAAGCCTAGATTATTAGCTTCATTTTGATACCAAACATTCAACAAAACTCTTTAAAAAATACTCTAAAAAGTACTCTAAAAAGGTTATCGATACTAAACGAGGCCGTCCTTAGCGAAGCCTCAACTAGGCCTCGTTAAGGATAGTAATTTTAGTACTATTTTAAAGAGTTTTGTTAAATGTTTGGTATCAAAATAAAGCTAATAATCTAGGCTTTCTGATAGAAAAGATTTTAGATTGCTAGCAACTTTCAGGGCGCTGATCTGACTGGTCAAACTTGAAGCCTCGTTAAGCGTCTTGACGAGTGACGTCTTAACGAGTCTAGTCTTGCTGACTGTGCAAATGGGAGCCACTCGAAAATATCGCATGTCTAACCAAGACTAATCAAAAGTTCAGCCAATTCAGCCAATTCGGCTTTTTCTTGAAAAATTTTCAGCTTTTTTCTGATATAAGAAATTTCAGATTGCTTCTTTCTTTCATTTACTCTTTAAAGTACGAGAAGCATGATGAGCGTCGAAAACCATTTCACGCAATGACGACAAATTGCTTTTCTGGAGATTTCTGACCTA